CACATAAAAAACTTTTTCAAAGATCTTTATTTTGGTAAACAGCGCGATTACATATAAGCAAAAATTTTAAAAAATAAGATTAGTATAATAATGGATTTAGTAATTAAATACTTATTTTGTTTCTGAAAGGAGATTAATAATGAAGTAAATTTTATATTTTATTATGTGTAAATATTGTCACTAATTGATAGAAAAGTTTTGTTTTTTAGTTTAGTCAAACTAAAGAAACAGCTATTCAAACTAAAACTTCACAGACTTTCTATTGCCTCGATTTAAAGACGCTATTTCCCTCATTACTTTGTCTGCTTTTCCATTCATGAATAATTCATAAATGTTTTCAACTTCAGTCTGGATAAATTTCTATAGCTTACATTAGCTTACCGTCTATTCAAGCTTTAAGCCAAATTACACTGAATAAAGGGCGCTGTTAAATGGCCATTTTTAATACAAATAATTTCCTCATTTTTACGTTTTCTAGAATTCAATTTTTAATATAATTTATTTATAGGTATTTTGTACCTATGATATCCTCTATTACTATTGAAATTTCGTATAACATGTATTTTATATAATCGCGCTGTTTTCTGACATAAAGTTTCTGAAAAATGTTAAAGAAAAAGTATAATTTTTTTTTTAATCGATTATTGCGGAAACGACATATTCAAGTGACATATTGATGATTTTGAGAAAAAAAATTATTTCATAGGGAAATAAAAATAATATATAAAGAATTATAAAAATATATATATTTTTTAAATAATAGCCCTGGCGATCGAAGTGACGCTAAAAAACAGCACAAAAATAGAACATTAGTATTAGTAGAACACATCTCCGAAAATCACTGATTATTAGTGTTGCCTAACACCAGTCTTGGTCTTGCACTTCGCAAGACCAATACCAAGGCCGCCTAACTGTTGCAAGACCAAGACCAGGACTGGTAAAGAAATCGATTTTTTAAATAAAAATTAAGGCAAAATGGTTACAAATACTTGAAAATCTTAATTACTACATGTAAATAATTGTTATAACCAATATACTTTTGAATTCAACTACTAAAATTCTTCATTCGGGCTTAGTTAATTTTCTCCTATCTAAAAAAATATAGTAATAAGCAATAAGTGACTGCAAGAATGTTACGAGACTCTTGCGCTAGACCAAGACCAAGATTGAGTTTGCAAGACCAAGACTCGTCTCGGTATAGCATTTGGGCGAGACTACTGATTATTCTAGTTGCAATTAAAAAAAACATTGAAACCTGAATATTGTCCATTTTGGAAAGAAAATAACTTCAAGACCTGTTTTCGAACAAAAATAAAGTTTATTATGGAGGAAAAGAATTATTTCCTAGTTTCGTATGGGAATAATAAATACAATTGTATCTTAAAGCGACGCCGTGTTAGGGAGGCGAAAAGGAAAAATAGTGTCTAAAACCAAATGATTACGAGTTTAGTTGAACATATGATCAATATATTTCAGATACTAAAAATAGGAACTGTATACTGTAAGCGTGAGATATGTTCAGCATTCCCTCTCCTTTCTTAATAAGCTATTATTCAAAATTGTATCAAAACTATATTGGAAACCACACATCTCCCAAATTTTCCGTGGCACTATCTCCACCTTATAACAGTTCAATCTTCTACTTTTCCTCCACTTTGACGGTGGATATATGGTGTGCGGCAAAACTTAAACGCCTAATGAAGTGAACAATACGTTTTGTTTTCGGGATCTCAATAAATATGAATGTTACCCAATATTACACCGAGTTAAAGTGGCTCTATCCATCCTAACGGCGTCAGTACTTCCATTCAGTACTACCTAACTTTCTGTACGAGTTAGTTAGAACTCATCGACCCTCCTATATTTTTAACAGCTTACAATTTCAATACTCCATCCAATCCTGTCCCACTAGATTTCGTACTTGCGACCTCTATCCTCCTCCACACCGAACTGCAGCGTTTGACAAATCCTATGCAATTCAAGCCGCCTCCATCTGGAATTTCATCCCTGCTGATATTCGACACGCACAATCAGTTTCCTCTTTCAAACCTCTCCTCTTTAAAAACCCAATCCGACTGATTACAAAATATACCTGAGAGAACTTTTTAAGTACCCCCAGGGACTATTTATGTTATTTTAGTTTCCTTTGTTTATCTTATTTACGTATACGCTTTTCTTTTCTCATACCTCCCTTTTTTCTGTATTTTTACTTTTAATTAACTATTATAGTAAATATTTAATTTATTTATGACCACACAGAAAAGTATTCTCTACTTATAATTTGTTCTAAAGAGACAACAGTCCCAGAATAATAAAATATATTTTCTGAGGTATATTAATAAAATTTAATAACAGCATTTACTCTCCCAACAATTTTTCTTTATTTGCATGACGTTTCGGGATAAATTTCTTATCCCATCTTCAGACAGCATCTCATCATTCTATCATGTTATTTTTTTTTTTTAAATTTTTCATAATTTTTGTATTTTCATAAATCATCGCTAATTATATCGTGGATTCCTCTAGGGAGAGCCTTGTCAGACTAAATATATTTTCATTTTATTTCATAACCCAACAACGTGTTAGCGAGTAATAGAGGGGACAGGATAGTGTCAGAAACCAAATGATAATGCGTTTTAGTGAATATATGGATTAAAATATCACTCATACCAGACTTAAACGACAAGAAACCGCTAAACGTTTAAGATTACTTCATCACTTACTGGACAAACGCTCTAAACTTCCAATGAATTACAAAATACCCATATACATGACCATAATAATGCCTATTTGGAGTTGAGCGATAGGGCTCCACTAAACCATCGAATTCCTCTCGTATTTAATCCTTACAATAAAAATTCCTTCGTAAAATCCTCAATGCCAACTACTTTATTACAAATAAAACCATCCATAATCCATAGTATATATGTTTCAGATCTGGCCCAAACCAGATATCTATCCTTCCATAATAAACTTCAGAATCATCCCAACCCTCTCGTTTCTAAACTTGCTTCCTCTTCAATTCATGATAACCCCCCGAGGCGTCTGAAACGAAGATGGCCTCGAGATCTCCTATTGTAAATACTTTTTTTTTTTTTTTTAGAGTGCTACCAGTGGGTAGTTTCTCAACAAGTGATTTCATGTTATTATTTTCTGTTATCAAATTTACTAAATGTATTTTATTTATTAACACAGTTTTAAATGTCATAAATAAAAAAACATTATGAGGTAACATTCAACTAACATTCAATGATATCACATCTTCAAATAACAGTATCGATTACTTCATTAAATGTAAAGTTTTGGGTTTATCAAAAAAAAAAAAAAACTAATGGAAATCGTCTTTCTAAAAGAAAAAGTACTAAATGTAAAGATGGCACCGTGATCTCCTAATGCAGACATATCATTAGAGTGCTACCATTGGGTAGTTACTCAACAAGTGTTTTCACGTCATTATATCCATATGTTTAAATTTACTAAATGTATTTCTTTAGTACAGTTGCAAATATCATTAAGAAATAATTTTTAAAAAAATCACAGAAACTAAAACTCGGACCTGCGCACTATAAGAAAGGGAAATATTCAGCATTTCCTTATCTTTATAATGGGCTATTATTTATCTGTGTAAATAGAATAAAGATTTTGTCTGTACAGTGAATAGAATCAACCCGTTTTATGATATATTTCCGTTTCATGCATTGCAGATATCAAATCCACTTTTAAAACATTTTTTTGTCTGCCTGTCCGCATTCCAACGAAATTTTGTCAGGTGTATCTCAGCAATGGCTAATTGTAGACTTTTGAAATTTTGACATTACATTTAAGTTTGCTTGGGTTAAAACATAGACTTTAAATGAAAACAAAATATTGACTACAACCAAAGTTATGAATTCTTGAATAATTTGTCAAGAGATCTCGGTTCATGTTAATAATAAACATTTTTTTATTGGTTAAAGAACATCTATATAAATAAACCAAAGGTTTTGTCTGTACATTAAATAGAATCAAACCGTTTCATAATATCTTTCCGATTCATACATTACAGACATCAAATCCACTTTTAAAACATTTTTTTGTCTGTCTGTCCGCATTGCGACGAAATTTTGTCAGGTATGCTCAGCAATGGCTTATTGTAGACTTTTGACATTTTGATATTATATTAAGGTTTACTTGGCTTAAAACATATGCTATAAATGAAAACAAAATATTGAATAGAACCAGAGTTATGAATTCTTGGGTAATTTGTCTAGAGATCCCGGTTAGGCAGTTACTTCGATTCTCATCCCAACCTACTCTACCGCGAGCCATAAAAAATTATCACAACTCAACGGGACATATCCGAAATACCAAACATCTGTAACGCGTTGCCGCTTAAAACACACTCATTTTTCAACTTTGTCCAATCTTCCCATTCAAGGTGTCATTCTATTCAACTTCCCGAGCCTGAAAAATGTTGTCGTATACATTTTTAGGATTAATCTAACGGATTAGCCGTAAATCGGAAGAAAAGTTTCTAAAAATTAAAATGATCTCTCCTCACTCACCCAATGTTATGAAATTAACCCTCCCCCCATAATACAATATCCGTCTCAAAAAACGATTCTCAAATTTTAACTATGCACCCGTCAACGATAGGTAAATCAGCTAGTAATTTATAATTCATATTATTAATCTCGCAAACTTGATGTTGTTTCTACTTAAATCGTGTGGTTTAAAGCACACACCTTTGTTTATTTTGTTTACAATAATACTTCAGAAAAAAATTAAGTCAGCTTCTGGGAATATAGAATAGGGAAGAGTAACCCGATGAAGCTGTCTAAAACCCGAGTGTATATTTTTTCCCCTTTCGCCTCTTAATCCCCTCTACGATACCAGATCCAATTTTAAATTTGATGCGCCTCCGACCCCCACTAACCCCCCCTCCCCTTTCCACTCTACCCATTCCAGACCATATATTGAGGAAAATCTTATTTGGAGGGCCCGGATATAAATAAGATTACCATCCCCGGGGTGTGAGGGTCGCCCCTTCTGTTTGGATTCCATCAAAGCTCCGGGGTCACTGAGTCCAAAGGCTTCGGTCCTCGCTTCTGATAGGTCAATCATGATGATAATTGGCCTCCTGCCTCCTTTGATATCTGATCCACTGGAGTGTATCGCCCTTGAGCCTCTAGGGGGATTGCCTCCGTAATAAAGGATAAATAAATCGGTATGAAGTAGGAACTTCAAGCAAGAAAAATTCATTGATATGGATTATGAATGGGATTTTTTTGTCTAACGAAACTAAATCTTACTTTATTGAGAAATAATACATTTTACCTCAATTGAGAGCATTGATTATTAGAGAGGTGTGAGACTCATTCATACCATATATACAATAACAAAAACAATAAAAAAATTAAATCAAAATAAAACGTTTTTATTTTTTTATATCATAGATATTTATTCAAGATATTTACAACTGTAGTACATTATAAATACATCAAGTAAATGTGTATATATGAATATAATCACATAAAAACGCTTGTTGAAAAACTACCTACTGGTAGCACTATAATAATATGTCTATGTAAGATCACGAGGCCATCTTCTTTTCAGACGCCTCGGATGGCTTGTTTCGATGTCTAGGTGCAAAACATCCAGGTCATAAGCGTCAGATCAACTAAATAACATCACTTAATACTATTTGGATGGTTGGTACAAAAAAAAAAAAAAATAAATAAATAAATAAAAAAAATAAAATAAATAAAGAAATGGATTGATAGAATAAAATAAATAAATAAGGATAATAATAGACATTTATAGGTAATAAGATGTATAAAAAATGTATAAATAAATAAACTTTAAAAAATGGCAGTAAAATCAATAAATGAATTGAGATTAATAAACAAATGAATTTAAAATGAAATGAAATTAAATGAAAAAAAAAAAAATAATAAGAGAAAATAGAATCAAAATAAATACGATAAAAAAAATTAACAAATAAAAAAATAATAGTAAATCTGCAAAGGATCATTAATTATAAGCCAGTCAAATGTGTTTTTTAAGTCTTTCACTAACCAGGAACTTGATGACTTTGGTAATGATTTCTTCTTGATTTCCCAGGGATGCTGATATATTCTGGGGTATTCCGAGATCTTTTAATCTTGTGGTGTAAAAAGGGCATTCTTCCAAAATATGTTTTATAGTTAGTGATTGGTTACACTTTTGACATCTGGGGATAAGATCTTTTGTTATGAGGTGGAGGTGAGTCAGTCTATTATGTCCGATCCTCAGCAGCGTGAGGAAGATCTCTTCTCTACGACTGCTGCGTCTGATGGTTATGGTCTGCCTCGGATGGTTATGAAGTTTATCGTGGAAGGATAAGTATCTGGATTGGGCTAAATTGGAAACATATTGAACAGTAAGGTCTTTATGGGTAATTTTATTTGTGACAAAGTCAGGAGCATTAATATTAGTCATGTATATTAGTCTTTTGTAATTAGTTGGAAGTTAATGGCGTTTGTCTAGTAAGTGTTGAAGTAGTCGGAAACGTCGAGCAGTTTTGTTGTTATTTCAGTCTTGTATGACGGTTCCAAGTGAGACGTTTGTCCAGTTGGAGTCCTAGGTATAGGATTTGTTCAACATGGATAAGTGGGGTGTTATTAAAGCATACTATAGGACAGGAAATCATAGATTTACGAAAAGAAAACCTAGTAAAACAAAAGAAATGAAAAGAGGGTATAGTTGGGTAAGAAAACGGATAAGGAGGGTATATCAGGTTTGAGCCAAGTTTCAGAGACGGTAATGGTATGATGGAAGTTATGGTGAAAATAATCGAGGAATTCGCCATAATGTGCTAGAAGGAATTGGGGGTTAACTTGACACGATATTAAGGTATTAATCATGAAGGGATCAAGGTAAAGACAACCTCCGGAGTGTGACAAAATGGTGTTAATGTGGAGAAGGCACATTTCTGAAAATACAGAATGAAATGTGGTATATGTATATATATATATATATATATATATATATACATATATATATATATAATAAGAAAACGTTAAATCAGATTCAAAGTAGAAAAAAGAAGTTTCTTTTTCCAAAAAAATAATTGAAAAGCAATACGATAAATGAGTGTGAACTATAGAAATAAAAAATGATAAAGTTTAAAAAATAAAATGAAAATAAAACGCATTCAAAGCAAGGAGGTTAAATAGTATGGTCTTATATATTAATAATATTTTTTCGGTTAACAATGCGAGATTAGAATGATATAAAATACAACAGAAGTAAAAATTATAAGGGAATATAAATTACAATGTAAACAATTATGGATGATATGTATGACAATATTAAGGAACAAGACAATAAAAGTAATATTAATATCAAGTTTAAAATTTTGAAATATAGAAAAAGCTTAAGATTTATAAGCTTAAGAAGTTTAAGCTTAATGTAAGTAAATATATGTATCCTAATAATATACAATTATATTGTAGTATACTCCTGAAATGGGACAGAGGCCCGAAACGTTTAATATGTAAAGAAAACAGAAAACATGAGTAATAAAGAGTGGCTCTTCCCCTCCATTCCAAGTTAATATTTCCTAGGTACGTTCCTTTATCATATCATCAACAATCATCGTCCTTCTTATGCCTACTACCTTCTCCAATTCAAATCCTCAGTCCACTCCCTTCCCACAAGATCTCGACCTTTCGACCTTTACATTCCTTCTCACAGATCTTCCTCGTTCCAAAACTCCTCTATTGCTAGCTCTGTTAATTTTTGGAATTCCCTTCCTATCAAAATTCGGTATTCTTCATCCCTATCTACATTCAAAACCCTCCTATTCCAATTCCTGTCCCAAGAACAGTCAGATACCCGCTAACCTTTTATGTAAATTTACATATTATTCATAATAATGTATTTACATATAGTTCATAACTTAAATACTTATTATCAGATTCGAATTTCTTTTTTTTTTCAACAGCAACACAGAGTTTACTGCTAAGAAGAATGTAATTGTATTTTTATTTTTTCTAAAAGTGTATATTTATATTTTACCATTGTAAATAATTTTAAGTTTCTTGGCAAGGATTCAAGAGTTTTTTGTATAGATTTTTTTTATTTTATTTTGTATATAGTATGTATAACTAATATTTTCTTTACTTATTTACCTTTATCTTTACATTTTATGTTCGTTTTTATTTGGCCAGATATAACATTTTGATTTTGTACTTTTTTGTTATTCTAAAATGATTTCGTCCCAGAATAAAATTATTTTCTATACTATATAAGATCACGAAGCCCTCTTCTTTTCAGACCCCTCGGATGATTATGAAGTTTATTATGGAAGGATAGGTATCTGGATTGGGCCGACTCGGAAACATATGGAACATTATGAATAATTTTATTAGTGACAAAGTCAGGAGCATTGAGGATTTTATGGTTTAGTGGAGTCGCATAGCTCCGTAAGTCCAAATATGTCTTATTATAGTCATGCATATTAGTATTTTTTAATTAATTGGAAGTTTATGGCGTTTGTCTAGTAAGTGTTGAAGTAAGCGGAAACGTCGAGCGGTTTTGTTGTCCTTTCAGTCTTCTATGAGAATTCCAAGTGAGACGTTTGTCCAGATGGAGTCCTAGGTATCGGATTTGTTCAACAGGGATAAGTGGGGTGTTGTTAAAGGATACTGCAGGACAGGAAGTCATAGGTTTAAGAAACGAAAACTTAGTAAAACAAAAGAAATTAAGCTTGATACAACGTTGAATAAAACCATAAAAACAAATTCATACTTTTTTACAATATTTACAGTCAGCTCCGAGTCTGACCCTTTTCCCCAGGAGTGGAGAACAAGGCAAGACACAAAAAAATCCCAGCGTTTCTCTCATTGCCGTGACACCGGGATAGGGAACCAGTGGAGACTGAGAAAGGGCACTAAAGCCACATGACTTAAGTGGAGAAGCTAGCCATTACCAGTACTCCCGTGACGTATTTACAACTCGAGATCACTGCCGTTTTAACCTCCAAGGAGGATTTAGGGATGACTGGAACAGATTAGGGATTGCGCTAAGAAATCAGAATGAAATGTATGAAATTTTGATAATCGGGGTGGGAATTTGTCAAGGACAAAAGGGATGCTAAGGTCATGATGTTTTGTTAGTAAAATAATAAGGAACATTGACTATTGTCCGAAGAACTTAAGATTGGAAGGAGTGGATGCGTTAGATGTTCGAAAATTCAGCGGTCCCCTAAAGTTGAAGTCCGTAGGTCCAGATGGGTTTTAGTTTTAGATGGGGTTGGAATGAATGAAAAAAATAATTTTATTCTGGGGCTACAGTTCCCGAAAGGATGTTGCTGTTGAGATCACCTGCAATAATAATATTTTCAAAGAGAGGAATATATGTAAGAAGGGAGGATTTAAAAGTGGTATCGAATCGGACAAGAGGAGAACGGTAAATAACGAGATGAGTAGAGAATAGGTAAAGAAGGACACTTGGACAAACAGATATTATATGCTTGAGATGTCGGAAGAAGGAGATGTTAGAAGGATTTTTGCCGTCAGACTGTGAAGAACGAACAATCCCACACCTCCACCTGTTTGTTCTATTCGATCATGAAGGAAGAGGGTATAGTTGGGTAAAGAAACGGATAAGAAGGGTATATCAAGTTTGAGCCAAGTTTTAGAGACGGAAATGGTATGATGGAAAGTATGGTGAAAATAGTCGATAAGTTCGTCATAATGTGCTAGAAGAGATTGGGAGTTCACGTGACAGGATATTAAGGTATTAGTCATGAAAGGATCAAGGTAAGGACAACCTGCAGCGTGTGACAAAATGGTGTTAATATTGATGGAGAAGGCACATTTTTAAACATACAGAATGAAATGTGGTAACAAAATTATATATATAATATTGATGTAAATCTTAGTTGATATTTTTAAACGAGAGTGGACATAAGAAAATGTTAAATCATATTCAAAGCAGAAAAAAGAAGTTTCATATTTCAAAAAAATAATTGAAAAGCAATACGATAAATGAGTATGAACTATAGAAATAAAAAAATGATATTAACAAGTTTAAAAAATAAACTAAAAATTAAACACATTCGCGGCAAGGAGGTTGGATATTATGGTCATATGTATTAATAGTATGTTTCCGGTTAACAATGCGAGATTAGAATGATCTAAAATACAACAGTAAAAAATTATAAGAGAACATAAATTACAATGTAAACAAATTACAGATGATATGTATGGCAATAT